AATAAACTAGGATGGGAGGCAGTACCTGGTGAACAGGCTTAAGGTCTTTAGTCCCAAGTACCACGGAACAAACAAGAAGAGTGTAAGATGGCCAGCTTCAGGGAGCTGCCATGTGTGGAACAGCACTTGATGCCTGGTTAGAGTGGGAAGGACCTTCATGACCTCATTGGCTTAGTCTGAATATTAGCTCAGAGGATACACCCCTTAACTGAGAATGGGTAGAACTTTATCTGAGGTCCACCTGTGCATTCTCTCCCACTGGATTGTCCCAGTTAACAGGTCCTGGTTCCCTGTACTGGTCTCTCCCCTAAAACTCACAGGTCAGCTCATTTTAGCTTTCTGTTAGCAGAGTCAGGGAGTTCAGCCCTTGGGCTGTTAGAACTGAGAGCTTGTCTCTTACCCTTTCTTGCTTTTAGGTAGGCCCCATCTTTGCCATTTATCCCTATACAGAACATGAAAAGACAGGAGAGGAGGCATGGGCAGTGCTGGACCTTGGACTCCTTCAACCCCCAAATCTAGAAGCCAGAGCCTCTAGTCTTTTTCTCTTAGGGATGCCATGGGCCCCTTTCCTGGTCTTGCCCTCTTGGTCTTTGACTGAGTGGATGGAAGGGGATTGCATCTGTCATGCAGTCAGGGTTCCCCTAAGGTTAGGGCCAGATGTCTCTGGGGACTGAGGTCAGGAGGAATTGATTCTTGCTGTCATTCATGTTCTTGTGCTGCCCTTTTGAGCTGGGTTGACAAAGACCTAGCCTGGAGGTGTGAGTTTGTTCTCAAGCTTAACATTTATCATTCCAGAAAATTGCCATTGGCCTTCCTTGTATAGATGTCAGGAGCCACAAGATAAGGTCTGGTTCTGGAATAGAGCTGCTGATGTGGCTGTTGCAACTCGAAATATTTCCAGGACAAGCTGAGGAGTGCCCTATACTTCCTTTACCTAGAGGGGTTTCTTTAGTCTATAACAGTCACTTTAGAGTGGGCCTTACAAAGCAAAGGCAAGATAGAATTAGTGTCTGTTGCTGAACAGCTCCCAGCCCAAACCAGAGTTTTTATGAGTTTCAGATTCAGTGAGCACAGACAAATCCCAATGACAACCTGGCCACGGTGGTTTTGTTAGTGAGAGTTGCATGGTGAGAGAACTAATGAGAAAAAAAAATGAGTCCTTCTCTTGTGTTGCTAAAAGGTTCAGATTTGCTTAGATCTAATTTCTCATAATGATTCGGCTTCCTTGCGACTATAGGTAGAAATGGTCAGGAATTACCTTTTTCACCTTCTGGGATATAAGTGAACATCTCTTCCCTGCACTGTGAGTTACCTGTTAGGTCAGGCATTTCTATGAGATGGATCACCATAAAGGGTGGGGGAGAACTAGGGGCCACTCTTCAAGAACAGGTAGGGACCTGAAACATATCTTCTATTGAGAGTGTATAGAGTGGATGGAACCACTCTAGAACCAGGTTACTTTCAAAATGGTGGCTTCCTCTTGGTGAGTGGTGTACAGGAACTCCATCATCATTGGAAGCAGCACAAAGAAAAGTGAGAACCTAGGCCTTGTGAAAAGACAGGACTGGACCAGGGAGATGTGTTGAACATGGCGAGGAGAAAGGCCTGTAGATTGACATTTTGGTCTCAATCTCTGCAGAGAGTAGTGACAGTGGGTAAAGAGGATTGACAGTGACCTCATTCATAGTTGTCATTTTGCTTTAGTTGGATTGCTGTTGCCATAGGGGGTCTTCTGATGACTGTGCCAGAGTCTGCTGGTTGCTGGGTCTGTAGAATGCATTCATGTCTTCTCTGCCACTTGGGTTTTCTTACAAGTAGGAGAATCCTCTGCTTCCGACCTTCTTCCTTACTATGTAAACAGTCATTTTAAAGATTTTTTAAAAATGAGTACACTCTTTGTTTAGGGTTCCCTTTTAAGTCCCAGGCAGGCCTGGAGGTTGTCCCTCTTTCTGTTTTGAACTCTGTGTGCTTGGCCTGGCTCTCCCTGCCAGTGAAGCATGACCTTTGTCCTTGCTACATGTGGACTCACACGGGTGCCATGCTGGTCCCTGGGAACCTGTGTGGGGCACTGAGTTAGTAGGTCAGTTTCAGGGCAGTGTGCTTCCCCTGAGAATTGGGCAACACACAGCCCCAGTATCACCGAAGACTAGAAAACTCACGGTGACTGAAATTGTCCTGAGGGAATGCTCCTGATGACTTCTAGAAGTTTCTTTCATGAAAAAAAAAAGAGAAAACACAGGCCCTCTGGATTAGAAGGTTTTAAAATGAATAGATTGCTGAGTTGAGTCTCGAGTTTTGTTTGCTATATCATAGCTTGATGGCCTGGGTGTCATAGTACATCACAGTATACAGTGATAAGCAGTTCATGGCCCAAGAAAATAATAATGTCCCTTACAGGAACTACTTAGAGGCTAGGTCAAAAGGATATGGCTAAAGATTTTGAACAATAAAGCATACCTCTACCTAAAATTTTAGTTAATAAGCTGTATAATTTTACAAATTAGAAAGAATTTGATAGCTGGACATGGTGGTGCACACCTGTAATCCTCACACTTGAGAGGCAGAGGCAGGCAGCTCTCTGAGAGTTCAAGGCCAGCCTGGTCTACATATCAAGTTACAGGCCTGTCAGGGCTACATCGTGAGATCCTGTCTTGATAAAATAAAGTAAACTTCAAGTGATTATGACAGCAGTTTATGACAATGTCTTTAAACCAGCAAGGGCTGGGTCAGGATGAGAGTGTGGGTGTTGTTTTTATGTGCTGGGCATTCCTCCCTGCTCCTTGCTACACCTACACAGGAAACAGGCTGTAGTCCATCACTTTCACATGGGGCCAGTCTGGTTGGCAACTGGAAGAAAAGCCACTTTCAGTCATTGCTGAGCAAATCTACTAATATCCAGGGAAAAAGCAATGGTGTTACTTAAGAGATTTGCTCTGGAACCCTTGAGGGAGAATTGAGTATAGGCTGGTGGGGTGTGCTCCCCATATCTGAAGACTGACCATTCCACAGTCCTTTGGGAAAACAAATCCGCATGGGGTCTGCCCTCTCATGATTCCAGGCATGGAAGTCCTTGGAAGATAACAAATCACAAACAATTAAGGGTGAAAATCAGCTGGACCCAATTTGTACTCAACTTTCAGGAAAGTACCTGGGAATCCACCCTTGAAGAGACTGTGTTGTGTTGATATCTCTTAGAAAGGCAAACATTTATCGTGCAAAGGACAGGGCTCGCTCCCCACTGTGTGTGTGTGTGTGTGTGTGTGTGTGTGTGTGTGTGTGTGTGTGTGTGTGTGTGTGTGTATGTGACATTCCTAGGTACCTATTTAAAAACATACTTTGCCCCAAACACTATTAGGACATGCCCCAGTACCCTGACATTGTGAAATATAATCAGAGTAAAGAATGTTCAGTTAAAATGTTCTGTACTCTTTCTCAATTTGGATAGATCAGCCACAGCCAAGAGTGAGATAACGCGTGGGGGATGGGTGGGGCGACCTACAGTGTTGTGGGAGACCGTGTGTGTTTATGTGTTTGTGCTTGGGAAATCATTTGTCTTTGGCAAGGGGGAAGAGGAAGGCAGCAAACAGAACAATGTGATTGAGAAAGTGTTCTGCAAAGAGAACTGTCTGTGATCCCTATCAGAAAGCTATACACATGGCGTCTGGTGCTATCCTCATGCTACGGTGGCCCATTGTATGACATGCTGGGGAGCACTGAATGATTTTGGCATAGTTCTGGGATCTGTACATTGGTAGCCATGTGTGGTTGGGTGACATTGTGATATGGGCACTGCCAGTCTGAGCACATACTACCCAGTTTTCCCTAGCATGGGCAGCACTAGCTTCAAAGCCCACTGTGGTTTTAGCACATGATCATTCTGGACCAGCAATGGTCCAGGCTCTAGGAGAGCTGAGTCCTCCCACCTGCCCCACTGCCCTCAGATCCTGTCTCTGGCTGCCACTCTCTGTCCTGGTGCTTAGTGACAGGGAAGAAACAGACACTGGGGTAGGTGTAGCTGGATTCCAGATCCAGCAGTGACCATTGGGGCTTAAGAATAGGAGGGTGATAGAGAGGAAGGGCCAGCTCTGATCTCTCCCCAGTGCTCAGCTCCCTATTGCTGATCCACTGGGTTCCTTGCAGCTGACCAGTCCCATTGCAAAGGGTCTTGGCAGAAACACCTCAACAGGGAGATAGGCTAAGAGGTAGCATTGTCTTGGAGCCTGTAATCAGTTGTCAGGGTAAGAACATCTCACTGTATAGAATCTTAATGGTGGTGAATGAGATGGCATGTATGGAAGAATATTAGTAAGCTAAAGAACCTTATTCTAGATTGAAAGTACCCATCGTCTCGAAATGCTTCTGTCTGTTGGAGGTGGGAGGTAGGTTACAGCTACTCAAAGGACAACTGGATACTGAGAGAGAGAAGCATCCATGTCCAAAGAGCCTGTTCCTTCTGTTTCTTCTTGGGCTTCTTTGGAAAGTACCTGTCCTGGACATTGGGGGTGGGGAGAAAGCCAAGACACTGGTGCAACCTTCAGAGTCTAGCAGGTGGCAGGAGCTAAAGTCAGTCATACAATTTAGTGTGTGTTTGGAAGGTCAGAGACGGGGGTGGGGTCAGGGGCGGGGTCTGAGTTAGTGTTGCCTGGAGGCAAACAAAGGCCAGAAGGGCTCCATTTGTGATATGTGCTAGCTTGACAGTGAGCCCTCTGAACTCAGATCTGATTTCCGAGTCTGAGTACCAGTGTTTAAAGTGATAAGAAGTCCCTGCACTTCTAGGAACAAGATTGGGAATGGATACGGCAGTCCATGGACACAGGGGGCACATGGAGACTGTCCCAGAATCAGGGTGGGTGAGACTCTTATCAGTACCTCACTATCTCTTTCTCCTGTTCCCACCACTGGGAATGGCTGTGAATGCCTCCAGGTGTGGGGTGAGGAGGAGGGAGCTGCCTTCTGTCCAGTTGGAGCTACAGCAATCTGTCTTCTCCTCTCCTCTATAGGAAGCTGCACAGTGGAATGAAGACATACGGGTGTGAGCTCTGCGGAAAACGGTTCCTGGATAGTTTGCGACTGAGGATGCATTTACTGGCTCATTCAGGTAGGCAAGGCCTCCTTCACGGACCCCATGTTGGTACAGACAACTACTTCCTGTCCATTTTCCCTCTCAACTCGGAGCTGGCCATGGTCTGATTGTCTTCACTGCCCGCCAAGGCTTTGGTCCACCTTGTCCCTTGGATCCTCTTTCCAGTTTCATGGAGCAGAAAAGCCACCCTGAGAGTGTGCCCATCAAAGGAACCCATCCTCGTGCTCTCCCCTGGGGTTCCCAGGCCGTCACTGGTACCCATGCCCTGTGCGATCTACCTTCCAAAGTAGACTGCAGTTTCATTAGCAGAAACAGTTGTGGAATTAGGTTCTCGCTGTCTAATGAATCTGACTATTGGGCTCACATTATACAAGAGCCTTTAATTAAATAGATATAGAAAGGTTGGAACTCAAAGCTAGTTATAGTGTGCTGTCTTTTGCAAGTTAATTTTATCCAATTCTAGTGGGGTAGACTATGTGGCTGCTAGTAATTTTGCTCATGTTTGGGCAAAACCGTTCTGCCCCAAGAGGTATGTGGAAAGAGGAGAAGCCCTTGACACCCTGTGTGCCTGGTGCTGTGGGTACAGGGAAGGACCCTGCAGATCTGACCCTGAAACTTTGGAGCTGAGGGCACAGCCTGCCTTTTACTGTAGAGCCTGTAACTTCCCTGCCAGGTCTCCTCCCTCTAACAGCTTTGCTTTTAAGCCTTGCACTTATATTTTAGGGGAGAAATGCAGGCTGTCTGTCTTCTTTGGTCTTGCTCTCCTTTTGTGGGTGACTACCAATATCTGCCTCTGCTTTGGCTATAGTGCCTCAGTCTCTATATCTGTCAGTGCAGGTGCTGCCCCCACATAGAAGTGGGGGGGTTTGTTTTTGTTTTTTTTTTCTGTTTTGAGAGTTAGGTGACAGAATACTAAATGTCTTCACAGCAAGTTCCCTGGTCTGCAGTTGGTGATTCACAGATACCATGGCTCCTACCTAGACCTCCTTCCCTGTTCCCTGTCCTGCAGCTGTCACCCCGGGGCAAGCCTCATCACCTCTCGCCAGATGCTTCCTGCCTGGTGGGCTGTCTGTGTACTATTGTTCCTCCAACTTGCTGTGTGGATGATGGTCTAAGTTCTCATTGGCAGCTTTGTGGTACCCCACTGAAACTTTGCTGCGTAGCCCACATGACTTTGCTCACTCATTGCTTAGCAAATGCTTTGTTCTGTTCATCACATTCTGTCTGCATGACAGAACACTTATCCCACCTTTCCAGGTTTTCCAGACCCTATTTCAAAATAAGACCACCTTTAGCCATTCCCCATTTGTAAGAAGTAATCATGACTTCGTCTGGTGCCCATGTTTCTGTATCTGATGCTGTCTTTGAGCAAATTCTTCCTTCCTTGTGTTACTGTTATTTCTGGGCCAGCCTCATCTCCCCCTGTTGAGAGGCAGGATAATGCAGTAGAAGAAACGTGGTCACCTACCTCCCAACAAGGTGACTTGGCCTTTCTGAACCTCTGTCTGCATCCTTGTCTGTAAAGCAGGAATGTTTAACTCCAACTCGGAGAGCCTGTAAGGCTCACACAACCTCTTTCCCATTATGCCCACTGTGTGGCAGGTGCTTGGTAAGTATAATCTCCCTTCTTTGTCCTTACCAGACAGTAAAGTGTTAGGGCACAGGCTTGAGCCTGTGCTATGTCTAACACATTGCCTGCAAATGCTTATTGACTAAATGAATATAGCCTGGGCGTCAGATGAGCCACTCGAGTACTCTAAGGTCCTGGCTGGTCTCACTGGCAGCAGAAATCCTTTCATGGCCGAGGGGCTTGATGGAATGGGAATACACTAAACCTCCTGGCTCTTACAGGCAGTGGGAGCAGGTGTGGCATCTCTGCTATAAAAACCATGTCTGCAGCGTTGGTGGGTGTGACTGAGATATGTTGAGAGCTGCTGAGTTCTTTCTGCTAGGTAGGTTTGGTGGCCCCACTTCTGACAAGACAGTGACTTTGCCTCACTTGGAAGTGGTGGGTCCCTGGGGGAAGTCCACTTTGGTCCTATCAGAGGTACCACGTCAGGGTCCCATAGTCTTAACTGTATGCTTTACAAGCTTCAGGAAGTGGGCTGTGCTTTCTTAGTTTTCCATTTCAGTGCTGATGTATTAGCCACTGAAGGCTGACTATGTTATATGATTGGCCCCTGTGAAATCCATTTGCCAATGCCCTTGTGAAGGAGGACTTGGTGATGAGTCACCATTTTGTTTTAATTCTCCCTAGCACACAGCTCTTAGCCTGTAGAGTCTGAGACTTCCAGTCTTTGCCTTTTCGTCCAGTTGCCCCGCAGATCCCTCACTCCTGTATAGGTGTGTCTTGACAATCAAATAGTATCAAAGGACCTGGAGGCTGGACCACTTCCTGAAACCCTTGCTCCCTGCAGAGACCTGAGCTTGCTGCAGGTTGGGGTCCGGGCCTGAGGGGTTCCCAGACTTCTAGCAACCCCTATACCAGATAAGAGAACTCTGTTGTTCTAGGGGATATTTATTTTTGCTGGTCTTGGTGATCTATACCTATCATCCCAGCACTTGGGAAGTAGAGAGAAGGGCTCAGGAATTCAAGACCAGCTGCAGCTACACAGCAAATTCAAGGCCAGCCTGGGCTATGTGATACCCTCTCTTAAAAAAAAAAAAGACATTTATTTGTTTATTTATTTATTCATTCATTCTGAGACACACCCTGGCTGGCCTGGAACACACTATAGACAGCATATATTTTTTGCTTCTCTGGTTTGAAGGCTCTGTGCTAGGAACTGACAGTGAGACCAGCCTAGGGATTTGTAGTGCAGACCCATTTCTTTTTAAAGGATAAAGCATTGGAGCTGGGAAGGTAAATAGTTGCCCAGGGCCCAGGGAACCTGTTTTTGTCTTTTTCTTGTATTTTTAAGAACATGCTGTGGAAAAATGAACCCCAGCCTGAGCAGGGGTCCTGGCAGCTCCCTAGGCATTGCTCTGCCCTTGCCAGGCTTCTCCAGGCTGTCTCTTCTGCTCCACCGAGCTGCGTGCCTCTCCCTTCCTCCTTCTCTTGCTGGTGCTGGCCGCCCCACCCCCTCTTGGCTAGCACAGCCTGTGTTTGTTATTGTAGTCCTGGCGCTGAGCCAGGTCTGGCTATGAGCCAGACTTGTGGGTACAGTATGTACAGTGAGTGCTCAGCCAAGTTTGTCATCATACTCGATTATTTTTTTTTTCTAATCTGGAAGGGGTGGGGTGAAAACAAGAGTTTCTGCGATGCTGGAGGAGAGAATGCGCTGGATTCCATGATGTTATTTCTGTAAGGGAAGCACTCCAGTCGGCTTGCCTTACCCCTTCCCTAATCTGGAAGGGGTGGGGTGAAAACAAGAGTTTCTTCGATGCTGGAGGAGAGAATGCGCTGGATTCCATGTTATTTCTGTAAGGGAAGCACTCCAGTCGGCTTGCCTTACCCCTTCCACATTTTTCCTTTCCCTGTCCCTTCCTCTCCTCTTCACTTCCCTATCCGATGAAATCAGCCTGTAGGAGATCGACGAGGCAAGCTCTTATTTGCAGTGACTAGAATACTAAATTTACACTCTTAAATCAGTTTTCATTGTGTTGAAATTGACAATTTGTTTAATTAGAAGTTTGCCCTGTAGGAGGCCCTTCCGAGAGGCTGCTATTTCTCCCCTCCCCTCTCTTACTTTCTCTTTTCTAGTTGTGTTGTTTTTTTAAGACCCTAAATGGTGGTAGTGAATGTTCAGTTTAATTGAAGTTTTTATTCCGATTTGAATTCGTTAACTACCCAAGTGTTTATGAGATATACCTGATGATAACAATAAGTTTAAATTAACCACCAACAACCTAACTCATTAACTAATGAGTGATCTGGCTGAGTTCGGCAGTTTAGAGATGGTTTTAGGGATCAGAAGGGCTGGAGGATTAGGGCTGTGGCTCACAGAGGGAAGAGCAATGACTTCATTCAAGTTCCTGACAAATTTGGGATAGGGTTGTGGCAGGGAGCAGAAGAGTATCCCCCCAGCCCACCATCCATGTCCAGAGATGACTCCAAGGCCTCATTTATTGCCTTGTTCCCATGGGAATCAGGCCTGGAAGCATTTATAGGTCCCCAACTCTTTGCCTTTGCTTTTTCTAAAGAGGTGATTTACAGCTGGGATGTGGGGCTAGACAGACCACGGACCATAGGTGTGGCCTAGTGGGTTCTGAACTTGCCTGGTATAAGCCTTGCCGTTAGGCTTATATGAACTTGCCCCATCTTGGCGTGGCATACTGAAAGCTTATAAACACACTGCAACTACTTGCTCTGTTTTGGACCCAGCTATTACCTAGGAGGGGTCTGAGTGTTTAGGTGGTCAGGTCCCATTCTGGGTATCATTCACTTTTGGAACTAGTGCATGATTAATATTCATCAATTTTGAGTGAGGTTGTGCGTATTTAACAGTGATGGATGTTGGAGCATCCTTCCCTCCAGGAACTTGGTCTAGTAGGAAACATCAGGTTGGTTATAAAAATAGTGCTGAAAGAATTGTTCCAAGTGTCAAGACAGAAGTATGGGAGAGATTCAGAAGATGTGGACCCTGAACAGAAGGTGAAAGCTGTGTTCTAGAGGAATCACAGGAGGCCTCACTGTTGAGGACTGACAGTACTGTTTGGAGAAGAGTTATGTGTGTAGAGTGACAGATGAAGGGCCTAGAACAGGGACGAGACAAGATTGTGGAAAGCCTTGAGGGACAAAATGATTTGTAAGTCCCCAGCACTGGAAAACCTCTAACATATTGAGAAGGGAATGACATTGTTTTCCCTTCAGAAGGGACTGTTGAGCTTTGGCCATCGATTGGCCTGGAGTGTACGACATGTGAGACCCCCTCAATAGTCAAGACAGGTAGTCCACATTGGTCATGGCTGCAGTGTGGAATCCCAAGCTTCCTACACTCGGGTAAGCTGTCAGGTGGGGGTACCCCACACACTTTTCCCTGCTTGCTCTTGCTGGTGCTTAGGTGCTGCCAGCC